TCGCCGTGCGAATTCCCTGCGACGCCGTCGCAAGCGAATCGTCGCCTGTGCGAAAACGAGCGATCCATGGAGCAGACAGCCTCCAGGTCTGACTCCGCAACGTTCCACGCCGCATGATCGTCGTGCGCGGAATTATCCGCGCAAGCGCAAGTTTCCGCGCGCGCAGAAGTCTCCCCTCGGCTCCGCAGCTCCGCGACGTCGCAACTCGACGTAAAGACGCGGGTTGCGTCGGGTACAGCGGCCTTTGCGCCGTAAAAACGGCCAGCGGCGAAAGGGAGAGAATCGTCTGCCATGTAACCAGTTGCGCGATCCATTCGTTTCGCCTGTCGAACTTAGCGAGAAACAAAAGCACTAGGCTGCAGGAAAAAGCTCATTCGTTCCTGCACAGAGAGCTGCTAGCTTGTTGGAAATGAAAATAAATAACCAGGGATGTTGAGGAGCTGAAATAGAATGGCGATTGATGGACGGACAGCCAACGATGGAGAAGAAAGGCGGACGAGGTTTGCGCAAGGAAGGACGTTCGCAAACGAATTGCGCACGAGAGAGAACATCCAGGCGACCTCAAGCACACTGAGACTGGATTACTGTGGAAGGAACATGCGTGAACCAGAGGTGAGGAGGGACTGTTGCCCAGAACAGAACAGTACAGTTCTGTACTGCGTCCTTGTTTGTATGCTATGCAATCACTACTGGATGGGAGCTGGGGGGCAGAAAAGGATGGATATGGGAGGTGGGTGAAAGGCGGTTGTGTGGAAGTAGCAGCAGCAATGCCTGGTCTGGGGCACAGGCCAAGCTTTAGGTGCAAGCAAGTCCCGAGTCGCCCCGAGTCCCTCCCTCCCGAACCGACCTCCCCGACAGAACCCAATGTCACATCCCGTCAAGCCAAGCAACACAGTGTCATCAGGTGGTAATGATGAGTTGTGGTTCTCGGATGAAAAGGACAAACATTTCCAGGGAATGCTAGGACGCATCGTCCCAGCCACTCACTAGTACTGTAACTGTACAAGTCGGTTACTGTGCAACCACACATTGGTCCCCTCCCCTGTGAATGACAGCCACCCCCCCAACCACACAGCCCGTCCCCCCTCAGTACCTGGTGATAAAACTTTGCGTTCCGAGAAGATGCATCGCCAGCTGCCACGCCAGGCTGACAAATAACGGAAATGCTCCGTGCCTTGGCTCGTCCTGGCACGGCCCAATGGTGGTCGATGCACTGTCTCGTGCCAACACTTGGGGACGCATGCCAAAGCGTGCCCCACCAGTGTGCCAACCTCGCGAACAAGGCGAATTCAATACAGAATAGAGTAACTCTCGCGACGTCAGTAACCACCCGTCCACCAAAAGTTCTTCGCCGTAGAATTTCTGTGAAGATCACACGCATGTTCCCTAGCCAAAAAACCAGCAGCGGGGAAAAGGTGACGCCTGGGTTTGTGTGTCGTGATTTCGAGAAATTAGTGTGCGATGTTGGTTTCCCTGTTTTCGGAGCACTTGGCAACCCAGTACATTCGCGATGGTTTGCATTTCGCGTGAGTTTCTTGAAACGTATTGGACCAGACCCTCAATTTCCCAGGGCTTTCGACCTCTGTGCCGGGCTGGCAGCCCACCAGCCTGGCTCGGTGCACTGGCAAGCTGTCAGTCGTGTGGCCTCGTACCGTGCCCGGTCGATGCTCTGGAATTTTCAGTGATTTCACCACGTCCTCAACATCCTCGTCCAGCGTTGGCAATTGCTTGCTTCCCCTCCCCTCCCCTCAACCCCCCACCTCTTCCCCTCGGGTTTTTAGGTTAGCGGTAACCCTTACTGGAGTTTTACTCTTTCGAGTAACATTTAGCCCTTTCACGGAAGGGTTTTTCATTGTTCCAACCCTCCCGGGCCAATTTTTTGTTCTTTGAGGTTAGTTCGCACCACAGAAAACCACGCGTCACAATCTCCTTGCTCCGTCACTTTGGGGCTACTGAACTCTGTTTTCCTGCGATATTGTGGGATCTGTAGCGCTACTGAAAATGGCTGAAAACATTCGGGCAGGCTAGCTGGCAAGAAAAAAACTAAAACCCACAGGGGCGAGTATGCCCATTCTGGTTGGCATCAACCCTAAATTCGTGGCCCTTTTTCGAGTTTAGGGTTGATGCCATCCAGAATGCCATGCCAGGCCCATAAGGGTTTTATTGTTTCTGCCCTCTGCCCAAGATTAAGGAGATTGTTACACGTGGTTCGCTGTGGAGAGAAACTAACCTCGAAGAACAAAAAAACTGTCCCTGGGGGGTTTGATCGGCGAGAAACCCTTCCGTAATAGGGGCTACACGTGATCCCAAAAAGTAAAAAGCTAGTAAGGGTTACCGGTAACCTAAAAACCCCTTCCCCTCGCATCCACCCACAAACAAACAGATCTCTACCGCCAGACCTACAGGACGAACTGGAAGTCGGGGGGAAGTTGGGGAGACATCTCCTTCTCAGCCCCATCACTAGGTCCACGGGAACGATACCCCAAGTTTCAGGATCTAAATTATCCACACCCGTATGGTCACGGTTCAAGCAGGAAGACTAAAATCTGGGTTTCAAGCAGGAAGACTAGAAGCTGCTTCGAATCAGGCGCTTCCGTCTTGGGAATGGACTATCCAGCACAGGATTCCATTCCCCTACGAGCTAACGACTAGCTTCAGGGTAGCACAACATTGCCCGAACTCCGACTCTATTTTCACAGACTTGAATTTAGCTGGCATAGTGCCCAGGAAGTTCGAAAATAGAGTAGACACGGCCCGGAAGTCCAAAAACAACCCCACAGTTACAGTACAGCGCCACTGTGGCGAAAATGACTTGAAGTTTCGTCAGAAGGAGGCGTCTCCCTGTTGTGGCACCTTGGCAAGATGGGACTGTGGTGGACGGGTAACGAGAAGCCTTGCTGGACGTTTGGTTTGGGGGGTTCGACGGGGAAGCATGGATGTGTGTGTACAGGTTTGATCCAGATTTCAGGGAAGCAGAAATCCGATTTCGGACGAGAGCGTACCTTTCAGTTCCCTTCCCCGAGTTCGAAAAACGTTGGTACGTACTGTGGCAAGGGCTATTCCATGCCAATATCAACATATCCATTTTCATACAGTATTGTCACACGCTTGTTGCTGTTTAACTATACTTCTACTTCCACGGATATGTTACCGCTATTCCAGAAAATATGTGGCTCATTCGTCTAGTACCTGCACTGTCGAGGGCCGCCACAGACGACAAACATGTGAAGCAGGGTTTGGAATCTTACAATGATTTCTCAAGGCAGTTGATTCTTGCCAATTTGGCAGCAGTGGTGCCAGCGCAGCTGCGCTGGTGGGTGATTTTTCGGAGCAGCAATCGAAGAAAATTTAGCGTCGCCCCGAGGTGAAACAAAATGCAATTCGAGCTGACTGTGAATCTGTGGATGCAGATTGAATAGCCTTATCTGTCATCGCCAAAAGAGGCTACAGTGGGTGTACAAGTACAGAACATTACCTGGCGTGGGACGCTACTTCACCACACAACCCACAATTCACTTGCAGAAATTTTTTGGGCTCCCTCACCTTGGGTTGCGGCACAGGGTCCTGGAGTTTCATCATGCTAAACGAGTGTGGGAAATGCACAGGACAACCTCACGCAGCCTGAAAATTTCAAGGACGCCTGGCCCTTCATATTTCAAGGAGGCGTGCATTCACCCCGTTAGTGCGTGTGCGTGTTTCCCCAGAAGCACCCAAACACAGCAACGGAGCAATCCACCACAACATTTGGCGAGATGAAAATGTACCCATGGAGTAGGGTCTTTTATTAGGCATCTATCTCATATTTGGGATTGCCATTGAAGACATCTTTCAGGCGTTTTGATATGAGCAACTCTTTACTTAAGGGCAGTATGAGATAAGAGCTGGGGGTCTTCTATCTGGCCTTTGATGGCAGATGGTTACAAGTTACAACTTGCGAAGAGCTCCAGCAATAGAACGGATGTATATGGCGAATGAGGCAACGGCAAGAACTGCAGACGTGTACAAAAGCACCACCCCTGATGTACCAATCAGAGGTCCAACTACGGGTAATTGTAACCTGCAGCCATAGGGAAGGCGACACAAAGAACTCCAGCAGGGGTATGAAACCTTGGATGTATGCTACTGGGGAGAACAATCACCAAAAGAAACCTGTAACGAAGCTTCTAACGACACTTTCTATTGCGCGCACAATGGTTGGCTAAAAGACATACACCAGAGAAAGGAATGAGCTGTACAGCATACTCACATGGGCGACCTGATGGCAAGCAATATTGTAATTGCAACCATCTGAGTGGCTGTTTTCCATTTGCCGTATCCGCTAACTGCCACCACCTTCCTCAGCTTCTCCCCCTCCCCCGCCGCCCATTCCCGGACCGCTGACATGGCGATCTCTCGGCCAATCATGGCGATGGCGGGGAGAGCGATGGTCCAGGAGGGGAGGGCCCATGGCAGGAAGGCGATAGTTGGGCAGGTTCTGTGCAGAGAAGGACGAGCACTTGCTGCTACCATGAGCTGTCAGTGGGGAAGGCAGGGGGGAGGCGGGGAAGAGGATAGAAATAAATATAGAGGGCGTGAAGGAAGGCCATTGTGTACTTCCATGCAGAGAAGACGAGCACTTCAGTGACCATGCGCTCCTAATGTAAGCATTTGTTAGGAGAAAAAGGGCGGACGGGGGGGAAGGGGGGGGGGGGTGGTTGGGGTACATAGTAGGAAGATAGAAGGGTAACCATCAGTTACAGAACGGCACAAGCAAAAAGGAAAGTGCTTGTAATAGAGAGAGGGATTGTGGGAGGGAGTGGATGTGTATTCAAAGACATGCGACGGTGATGAACAGATTCTTTCGATGGATGTACACTTTTTGGCCGGTCTGTGTGAGTGTTAATGGGGGTCTGCGTCCATTGAAAATTATGAATAGATCTCTGGTGATGAATAGATCTCTGGTGATGAATAGGTTCCTTCTGAATCGCTCTGTCATGGGTGTGTGTGAATGCTGATGGGTTATGTATCCCATGATGCATGAATGATGACTCACTTTTATCTGCCACAGGATCCACAAAGGCAGCAAATGTGTAGCTGCATTTCATCTGAAACGAGCTGGTGCGCATGTGCGTGTGTGTAAGTGTGCATGTGCGTGTGCATGTGCATGTGCATGTGCGTGTAAGTGTGCACATGTTCATGCATGATTCACAACTCACTTCATCTGCCACAGGATCCAGAAATGCACCAAACGTGGAGCTGCAATCCATCTGAAATGTGCTGGTGTGCATGTGCGTGTGCATGTGCGTGTGCATGTGCGTGTGCATGTGCGTGTGCATATGCGTGTGCGTGTGCATGTGCATGTGCGTGTGCATGTGCATGTGCATGTGCATGTGCGTGTAAGTGTAAATGTGCATATGTTCATGAATGATTCACAACTCACTTTATCTGCCACAGGATCCAGAAATGCACCAAATGTGGAGCTGCAATTCATCTGCAATTCGACAGCAACGGCAGGAGAAGGGAGACAACACGAGCAAGAGCGAGTGTGCGATATGTGAGAAAGAGAGGGTGAGAGTGGGAAAGAAAAATCCTGGGGAAGGGGGACGGGAGAGAAAGCAGGGTGATGTAGGGATGCACCAACCTGCGAAGCGAGCAGTGCGAGCAGCGGACGCAAGCAATACAGTATCCATGTAACGCACCTTCCGAGCGAGGTAACCATCCAGCCAATCAGTGATTGAGGCCATGATAAAAATTGTGGTAGCAATTCCCGGAGTGAAGAAGAAAGCTGGAAAACAGTGAATTCACGAATGCATGGACAGGGACGAATTTGGTGATAGTGCCAGGCAACGGAAGGATCGAAGGGAAAAAACGAGAAAGGGTCAGCAGCGTTCTGGCTGTAGCAAGAGTTGTTGTCCGAAACTGCCCGAACCTAAACAACCTGACTAGCAGCAGCATTTTCACCATACAAGCACCAGCGTCGCTGGCACTGGTAACACACATGCAACCGGACGTCAGCATCACGACGTACACCAGCAAAGTAAACTTACTAGGGATCGGGAAACATACCGGGAAGCACGAAACATGCTGGGAAGCACGAAACATGCTGGGAAGCACGAAACATGCTGGGAAGCACTAAACATGCTGGGAAGCACTAAACATACTGGGAGGCGCTAAACATACCAGGAATTATGGCTGGAACTGCGACGACGCGAGCGATCGTCAGCATAGTCGGCAGCGTCATCACCTCCTCCTCCTTCTTCCCCTCCTTCGAATCTCCTGTTAATCCCCCGTTCGTTCCTGCACCATCCCCGCTATCCCTGGCCGTCTCCTTCTGCTTCTCCTCCGGCGGTAGATCGCTTGTCGGGATCGCCGCTCCGCCTCCTCCGGCAGCGCAAACCGTCACGCCGGTGTAAGCTTGACGGCTAGCCGTCAGCGGGTGGAAGTACGCCGCTTCGTCGCTGAGCTTGACCCTACAGCGGTTTCTCGGCCGGCCGTCGGCGTGAAGATGGAGCGACGAGAAAGGCAGGCTGACTGGTGAAGTGGGAAGGCGTTGCTCCAGCGCTTGTACGCACGGAGCCGCAGCCATGACTGGCGAAGACCGGGACGACGAAAACGATGAGAATTTCGCGAAGAGCGATAGTCGCGGCGAGGATCGCGAAAGGGACGACGAAATGGTGGACGACGTCAACGACGACGGAGGCGAAGAAGATCGGACGAAGGATCTGACCGCAGCTGGCCGCAATACGGAACTTCGAGAAAAGCTTTTGGCTAGTGGCAGGGACGAGGGAAGTGGAGACCTCCAGGAAGAGGCAACGCGCATGTAGGTTGAGGTTGGGAGACGGTGAACCTGTGGGGGAGCCATGGATTAGGAACGGTAAAACCTAGACATAGGGTGCAGACGCAGCTTGCGCTGGTTTGGTTACCCCCTGCCCCTGAGGCTGGTTCAGGGACTTAAAGCGTGATAATATACGGTTTTAAACGTTACATATTTGTTATCATCTGGTACTACGGATTAGCGGGTGGTGACGCGTGGTCAGCCCTCTCCATCGGGCCTGGGAAACCCCATTTCGCTTTCCTCCCTCTTTTTGCCCTTCCCTGCTGGTTGCAGTTTGGCCATTGGTCTTTGGCGCTCGCTGATTGGCTTGCTGATGAAAATCTGACAATCTCAATGGGGTCTCCATCGAGATTCGTTTCTTTGCGAAAGTCGTAACAGAACGCTAGGGTAACTACTCATTCACGAAGCTGGATAAGGAGTTGAAGTTCGTCGTGAGCACCTCTGAAGCTCGCAGATGAGTCACGGAAATGCCATTTGCAAGTACTGGTTTTCGCCAGCCGCAAGGTGTGCTGGGTTTTGCGAAATCATGTGGGGGTGTTACTGGTGCGAGTGCTGAGTTTTGCCAGCCGCAAGGGTGGTGTGTTGGCACGGGAAATGCCGCCTGAAACCATCCAGCTGAGCTTTAGGCTGGGAGGGGGAAAATGGGCAGAAAACAAACTAGTGGAGGGTACATATGTGAGATAGAAAGAACAGGAACTAGGAGATTCCAGTAACTAGAGGAGCCATAATATAGGGATTTCCGCAGGCCTCGTGCTGTTCCGTCCGAGCGTAGGATCGATATCGCTTGCTATCTCCTTCGAGCAGTTGTTTGTTTCGGAAGGAGTAGCTTCAGAAAGCGATGGCTGGGTGTAAGGTGTTGCATGGGCTGTTCGCCGTTGTGACCATTCTGGCTTGCTTGGCTCTCCCTAGCCTTGCAGCTGTGCCTGCCATTTTCAGCTCCAGCGTCAGGTACCTTACTTAAGAGCCATCTAGCATTCTCAATGCGCCTTTATTTTAACAGGATCACCTTTTATAGGCCTTCTTTTATTGCGTCGCTGTTACAGTCCACTCGACTAACTTCTAGGGTTTCGCAGGTTGTCAGATCCGACGGATGCTGTCAGCTACGAGTCAGTTGAAGGATCCGCTCTTCCTTCCCTCTTGTTCGACCCTTCTCGCGATGTAAGATCACCGCGTCTCGAAGTTAGGTCCTGATCCCGCTAGATCCATTCCTGCTGGCCGTGCTGTGGATTAGTCTGTCATTACCACGATCCAAGTGTAGCGTTTTCTAAATCACTCAATCACTTCTATGATATTATCACCTGCCCTGAGTTTTTCCGCATCGCCTGGCACAATGACCTATTTTCGTCTCCATTGCAACCTCGTTAGCCGCTTGACATGTCCTGTCATTATTGTGCACTTGTTCTATTTTTCATTTCCGTATTCCAACTCAATGCGGACTTCTGAGCGCACTAGACTCCACACTTATGGCCATTGAAGTCACATCGAAATGCCAGTTCATGTTTACTTCGCACGGGAAAATTTTCGATTTGGTGCCGTCTGTGAAACCCCTGCGCTCCCGTGCACTTTCTCCTCCCGTTGACCCCAGGATTCGATCTTCTCATCTTTCGCCGAGGAGAGGCCTGGAGTGGTCCTCGTTTTTTTGGGCAAGGAGGTGAGTTGAAGTTGACTTTTGAGTCGACTCAAAAGTTTTCCTGGGCAGGGAGGTGAGTTCTTTCTTTCTATGTGTTATTCTCCAGCCCCTCGATCTTGTTCATTTCCTTCGTCTTCATTCTTCTCCGATTCCTACTTTGTCTCCTTAACCCGGTTCACTTTCGGTTCCGGGCTGAGCTTGTGTATCGTTACCACTCGTTGATTGTGCATCGTGCGAACGTATTCTTTCGCTCGTGCTGTTTTGCAGATTCGAACCACTGACCTTTCCTCTCCCGCTGGATCCGTCAAGCCTCTGAAGGTGCACTAATAACAGCGTGGAAGGCGGGGGATGGGGTGGGGGAGAGCGAGGGGCTTGGTGGTGGGGATAAGGGGATGCTGGGAAGAGAGGGAAGGGTAGGGTGTGAGGTGGCGTTTGGGATGTGGGGAGGGGAAGGGAGGGGCGTGGGTAAGTGGGGGAATTCCTGTCCCAATCAGCGTCCTCCAAGGTCTTCCCCTAGCAACACTCACGCTGCCAATGCCCACGTGCTCGACTCCCCCTCTGCTTCCTCCCCACTCCCCCCCTTCCCTCGCCCCCTCCGGCCCCCTCGCTTCGCTCTCCCGATCTCAGGAGCTCCTCTCCCAGTCAGCAGCGTCTCACCCTCGCTGCCAAGACTCATATGCGGGACTCCCTCTCTCCATCTGGTTCCCCCCTTCCCACCCTCCCTCGCCCACTATCTCTTGCTTCAGGAGCTCCTCTCCCAGTCAGCGTCCTCCAAGGTCTTCCCCTACGTGCAGCCGCTCACCCTGGCTGACAGGACCCACGTGCTCGACTCCCTGCTCGCCTCCTTCTCCTCGCTGGCCTATGCGGGGGAGGCTGCTGTCAGTGACTCCTGCGGGCCTGCCCCCCGTGCTGGCCTCCACCGTTTTGGAGACGAGGCCTCCCTCAAGGTGTGTGAGCGCTGCCAATGAGGCCGTGACTGGGTAGGTGCCTGCCTGGTGGTGCGAGGTTCTGATTCCTGTGGGCCTGCCCCCCGTGCGGGTCTCCACCTCTTTAACGATGAGGCGTCCCTCGAGGCTTCTCTCTCTCTCTCTCTCTCTCTCTCTCTCTCTCTCTCTCTCTCTCTCTCTCTCTCTCTCTCTCTCTCTCTCTCTCTCTCTCTCTCATTCTCTCTCTCTCTCTCTCAAGGTGGGGACTGATAACGGTAGACAGGAGGAGGAGGAGGACACTCCCTGCTCGCCACCTTCTCCTCGCTGGCGTATGCGGCGGAGGCTGCTGTCAGTGACTCCTGTGGACCCGTCTCCCAAGTCGGTGACCATCGCATGGGGGATAAATCCTCTCTCAATGATCGTTGCTCTCTCAAGATGGAAGTACTGGCCTCCCCTCCCTGCGCGTGCCCACGAGAGAGAGGCCAGCGTGCTGGACATGGTGCCGTACTGCTCGGATGCGATTGTGCTGGACACCGACTCGCACGGCAATGCTGTTGGATGCTGTTGCTGTGCTCCCTTCTTCCCGCCTTCAGGACCTTCTGAATGCCTGCACAAGCGTGAGGGCGGGCAGGGAGCTGGACATGGTGCTGTACTGTGCGGATGCCACTGAAGAGACCGAGTCACACAATGATGCCTGTGTGTTATGCCCTCTCTATGCTCGGTTCTCCTGTCTTGCAGGACCTTCTGAATGCGCGTGCCCACGAGAGGGCGGCCAGGGAGCTGGACATGGTGCTGTACTGCTCGGATGCGGCTGTGGACACCAAGTCACACGATGACGCCGTCGCTGCTGAAAGTGAGAGCCTATCCCTACGTTCACCAGCCCCCCTAGTTCTGAAGCGCCCTCTTTCCCCGCCACTTCTCTCCTTCACCACCACCCCACCTCTTCTCTCCCCAATCACCCCTCTCTTTGCTCTCTTCCTTCTCCTCATAAAAGCCGTATTTTAAACACCTCGCACTCACCTCCACCTTTTGCTACTTTCTCTTTCACAGGCATCTCGAATGCAACGTCTCCCCTTTCCTTTCTCATCCCTCTGCCATGCAGCTGCTGAGCTCGCCACTCTGGCGTCCCTCGTCAAGTTGATCACCCCCAACTACGCCCTCTTCTACACCGCACTCCCTGACTCGTATCTGGGTGCACAGCGCCGCCTGCTCGCAGCTGCTGATGACTATGCTGCTGCCGGTACAGGTGCTGCTGATGCTGGCGCTGCAGGTGTCGGTGCTGCTGGCTTTGATGCAGCTGGTGTCGGTGCCGGTGTTGGTGCCGGTGCTGGTGCTGGTGGGGAGGGCGTGGAGGGGCAGGATGTGGCTGGGGATGTGGTAGTCGCGAAGAACAAGTGTGGGCCGACGTGCAAGACTCGCACTGCTCTGCTTGAGGGCATTTTTGCAGTGAGTTGTCCTGTCTCTCGGAGCCGTTTCGTTTCCCAGGTTATGCCGCATTATCCCCCTGGCCTGAACCACATTTCCTTGTTAGAAAATTGCTTGACTGGTTTTATTTGACATGCGGTATGTTCTGTGCTCTGTGTTGTATTTCCAACACTCTGCTGTGTGTTTTGGTCTTTGTTTCCAGGGCATTGTGATGCTCATGATTCTTGTCTCGGGACTCACGGTTCTCTCTCAGATTGACACCCCCACGCGGTTCGAGGTTTCCCGTGAAGCATCCTAAGGGCATGAGTCATCTTGAGTGCCCGCACTGTTTTTGCGAAGTTCAAAACCTCACAGTTGCATGTCAAATCACATGATAGGTGGTTTCCGACATTGGATGAAGATAGCAGTAGCCTGTGTGTCTGTCCACTGTTATTTACGGATAGCACTTAAGTAGAACGCTTCTTTGAATACTGTCGTACGGTCCACCTGTTTTGTGTTAAGTAATTGATTCAAGAATATTCCAGCTTGCTCTAGGACGTTTTTTTAAACCTCTCGGAATCGAGCCATGCCATAATGAGCAATCTTCCGCCGCCCTTTGGCCCTGCCAAAGCGAGGCGACTCGAGAACACGAGCAACTTGATCAGGGAGGTATGGAGCCAACGAGCCACACAGGCTGTGCGGACGTGAGGGGATATCCTTGACAGGTGATTCGCTGCGACGGTTTTCTCCTCTACGCCAGTGGTTACGACACTATGACGACGCTTTGGCGAAAATCGGTTTTTAGCTCTGATGGTGTCTCCTGATTTGTCGAGCTCCCGAACGTCAAACATAAGTGATTTCTGGGACTTCCGAACGTCATCCAGAGCGCTGCAACATCAAGCTCTCGGCTCGGGAGTTTGGTTCAGCCTTCCCCCTTCATACCTAGCGCCGTTCTCGCGCTTTCTTTGCCCCTCGAGGCTCGGCAATACCCGTCAATCTGTCGCGGCGCGTCGACCACAACCTGCTTCGGCAAACTGAGCTGACTGCCCCGAACCTTGTGGTTCCAAGCGTGCCAAGAAACGCCTGATAAATCGAGCCTGATGTTCCCGCTTCAAGCGGGCTTGGTACACTTTGCCCCAACTCCAGACCTCCTTCCTAGCCTCGGAGTCACCACTCTCCCTCTCCCCCCGCTTAGTTCGAAGTTTGAAGGCAAAATCGCCCATGTTCGGTTCTCCGCGCTTCTTGCGTATTCAGCAGCCCATATTCCCCCCCCTTCACTGCTGGTGCTCTGGTCTTCTCTATTCCACTCATCCACTGACCTCTTCTATTTTCGGTCGTCCATCAGAGCACGTTCCGCCATAGCCAGTGCAGGTTCTGGCTAGGTCGCTGCTGACGGCACCCATGAGCAGAAGCCCTTGTTGAAGCCCATTTCAAAGTCCCGCTGGAACCGCCGCTCACCAGCATTTACAGTGTGCCTTTCCTCTCGTCGCTGCGACGAATACCCTAACGCCCGCTAGAGCGTACTAGCAAGCAGCCACCAGCACCTCCTGCTCCACATAGACTAGGCCTACAGCCTACAGCCTAGAGACTCGGCCTGCAGCCTCCTGCTCCGCTAATCGGCTTACAGGATGGAAACCGGTCCGAGCAGCAGACGCCTTGTGCCTCCCAATAGCTGCAGTTGATAGTCGCCTCTCCCGTCGTCTCTAGCGTCGCCCCCTCAGGCTCAGTGCCATTTTTTCGCCACCAGTTTCGCTCGGCTTTCCGGCACTTCTCGCCCATTCCCCTCCTGCCTTCTCACCTGTTGCTCCTTTCGACTTCCGAGCGCCACCCCATTTTCACGCTCCAACTGCTTCTCGGGCCTACCCTAAGGTCCTGAGTACTAGGTGTGTCCTGAGTAGGTGTCGACCCTAAGGTCCTGACTAAGTGTCGACCTGGCCCTGGCTCATCTAGCAGCAATGGCGCGGAACATTCGTCTCGTCCCATCCCCTCTACCGCGTCTCCTCATCCTTCTTTCCCTGCTCCTCCTCGCGTCGCCGATAACGCACCCGCTCGTCTCCGCGCAACCCGCTGCTGCTGCCGCGGGCGGGGGAAGAGCCGCCGCGCAACCCGCCGCGGGCGGAAGCGGCGCCGCCGGCGCAGGCGCAGCAGGCCCGGCATCTGCGGGGCTGTCGGATCAGGACCAGATCGCGAAGAAGCGGTTACAGCTGTTCCACGAAGTCGTGCAGGCGATTGCGTTTTCGCACGTCGCGAATGCGACGGACGGAACGATAGTAACCCTACCGGCCACGCCGTCTTCTGGGTCGACCATGGACCTAGCCGTCCTCAATACTGCGACTTTCGCGGCGAACGGCATACGCTATAAAGAGTTCTACCTGCCGCCCGGTTTAAACGTTCCTACAACGGAGTCTCGGGTGGTGTTACTGTACCAGAATTACCCTAATTTCACCGCGCCGTTTAAACCGCCGAAGGGGTACCGATACGCGGCGCAGTTTGTGGGCCTGAGCGTGTACCCGTTTTCGATGATCAACAGTGCGACTCTTGTCGAACCGCTGAATGTGACTGTAACGGATACAAACACGCCGATTCAGGTCTCCCTGGCTTTGGACGTAAAATTCCCGGATTTTTACTTCTGCGTGACTTTTGACGCTGACGGCTTGCCAGTAAATTCTACAGTAACGACCGACAGGTCTCCCGCGCCACCGTCACCTACAACCCCAGTCACGGGCACCACCAACTACACCTGCAGCTCTCCCGACCTAGGGGAATTTACCCTGGCAATCTCCCTCGAACCCCCTCCGCTGCCGTCCCCGCCTCCCCCATCCCCCCCCTCTCCGCCTCCCCCGATTTCCCCCGGAACTTCCCCCTCTCCGCCTCCCTCCACCTCCCCTCCCGCCCCTCCACCCCCCGCGTCATCGTCTTCCAACGACACTGTAGCACTCGCGGTTGGACTTTCCATCGGGATTATATTCCTGCTGCTGGTCGCGGGCTGCCTCGCGTGGGTGTTCTGGCGGTCGCACAGAAAGGCGCGCCTCGAGGCCATGGAGCGCGACGCGGAGAAGAAGCTGAACCTCGAGACGGCGCTGGTGGGCGGAAACCGCGCACCCGCCGCCGGCGCGTCGCGGACCAAGGCGGTGATCGAGTGGGAGGAGTCCCTGCCGTCAGTAGATGGGATTTAGGGGCTTTGGCGGGGGAAGCGGGGGGAGCGGGGGGAGCGGGAGGAGCGGGGGGAGCGGGATGAGCGGGAGGAGCGCATGGGAGCGGAGGGAGGGGGTGGAGCGCATGGAGAAGAAGCTGAAACCGCGCGCTGGCTGCCGGCGCGTCGAGAACCAAGGCGGTGATCGATTGGGAGGAGAGTCTTCCGTCCGCAGATGGGATTTAAGGGCTGAAGGGGTGGGAGCAGGGGGAGTAAGATGTGTGGCTGTGTTTAGGAAGATGGCTGGACAAAAGCGGTGATTGAATGGGAGGAGAGTTTGCCGTCCGTAGATGGAATGTACGGGCCGGAGCGGAGGAGCGGATGGGAGCGGAGGGAGTGGAGGGAGCGGAGGGAGCAGGGGGAGCGGAGGGAGCAGGGCGGATGGAGCGTGACGCGGAAAAGAAGCTGAATCTGGAGACGGAGGGGTGCCCGTGTGGTGCTGTGTGGTGCTGTGTGGCGCTGTGTGGCGCTGTGTGGTGCTGTGCAGGGGAGGGGATGGAGTGGGACGCGGAGAAGAAGCTGAATGTGGAGACGGAGGGGTGCCCGTGTGGTGCTGTGCGGCGCTGTGCAGGGAAGAAGCTGAATGTGGAGACGGCGCTGGTGGGGGGGAGCCGCGCTCCTGCCGCTGGCGTCCCGGACCAAAGCGGTCATAGACTGGGCGGAGAGTCGGCCATCTGTAGATGGGATTACAGGGAGGGGTTTGGCAAGCATGTGACTGTATCGAGGGGAGGGAATTCAGGAAGGGAGGGGAGGGACTACAGGAAGGGAGGGGAGGGACAGCAGGAAGGGAGGGGAGATGGTTCAGCTATCGCGCAGCAGAATTGCCGGAACAGGTCAAAGGAGGGAGAAGTCATGACTAGGCTCCGCAGAAGGGGTTGGGTGTCCAACGAAAGAATATGTGGAGGGAAGCTGAAGGGGGAGGTGGAGGTGTGTAGGATTGTGTGGGGTTGTGTGTTATTGTGTAGTGGTGTGAAAAGGTTTGTCATAGCTCCACGCTGGCAGGTGATTGCGGAGCTGCACATATCTGAAGATAGGGGAGGTGGTTGGGTGGCATGGAGGATACCATGTCGCCGCATGGTGGCAGGTGCAGGAGCAGCAGTAGCAAAAGCTACTGCAAAGCTATGGTTGGTTTTTATCCTCAAACATCATGAGAGTTGGCTTGGGTAGGGGTATGGGGGTTTTCTTTACCAGGTGGGGGATGAGACTAGTAGTTAGTGGCCCAACATTGTCGTGTGAATCGCTAGAAACGTGTCCCTTCGATGGGTGGGACCCGTGCATATTGTTTAATTTACAATTGTGTGGTCTTACTTTGTAGCATGTAGTGGTGTGTCCTTAGCTGAAAGGTTCTTACATGGTTTCATGCCTTACGTTCTTATAGACAGTGAGAATGGTGGCTCTAGTCGCTTACATGCAATGTGTACGACATGCGCTGTAGTAGTTAGCGTATATTTCTGTATCATCACGGGAATGTTGAGAACTATGATCGGAAGCATTTTGCGAGTACAAATTTGAACCGCAACGCGATTGGCCCGTCCTGACGGTAACGTCTGACAGGCTGTGGTGAGACCCATTTCGACCACGTCGCAAACTAGCCACTCTTCCTCTGGCGAACATTGGCGAAAATGAAGAAAGCGTCAGCTTCACTTTCCGTTCCTCTTCCCTCTGAACCTTGAATCCAATCTCCTATGCCGTTCCCTTGAGCTATCCTGAATCTTATCCCTAGGTTCTTGCTGTTTCTGCCTGATTCATGGGTGATCAGTAACGGACCATGAAATGATAGCTCGTCATGAGTCCTGATCCCTTTCTACCGTGACGTTCCTGAAGTTACATAAGCACAGTAAAGATCCACCACTTCGGCTTGTCGTTTCTAAAAGTGGCAATTTTGATACGTAGATTCCGGATTACTTCGGACATGGTCAGGCGGAATTGTGGTATTTTCAGTAATCGTAGCAAGCAGTGTCCCATTAACGAGCGCGATAGTGCTGTAGTATCGTGTTTCTGGTAGTGATACGGGACAATGCCGCATTAGGGAGCGCTGCAGTGCTGTATGATTGTATCCCCAGCAGTGATGCGGATTAAGGGCGAAGGATGGCGACGTCAGCTCGTCGCAGGGCCGGATTCGCCAGTCGCAAAGCGTCGCGAGCGGCCAAGGTGTTCGCCTGGCTGGTCGACGACGCTGACGAGTCTCAGGCGACGTTCGGCTGCGATTCATCGCCTGGTAGCAATCCCACGCCTGGATCCGTCGCTGATGTAGCCCCAAAACAGGATCTTCAGGCCCAAAGAAAGCCGCTGCTAATTGAGTCGATTCCCAGTACACATGACGCCCAAAAAACGGATGGACAGGCACAACGAATCCAGCCGACGCAGCATCGAGATGCACGTGAAGGCCATGAGAGGGGAATGGCGACAGACCAGAATCTAGAGATTCACAAGGAGCAGACGGAGCATCAGGATGCACGTGAAGGCCAGGAGGATGGAAAGGAGGCAGACCAGCAGCTGGCAGTGATGCTCAAGGAGCGCATTGGGAACCAAGGCACAGAGACGAAGGGTGACTCTGCAAATGATGACTCTGCAAATGATGACCCTGCAAATGATGACCCTGCAAGGCGGAACGACAAAGCTGCTGAGAACGACAAGGCGGCTGCTGGGATGCAGAGGGAGAAAGGTCAAGCGGAGCACGAGCAAGTCAAGAAGGATCCTGCAGGCAGCATAGCAGCAGGACGAAGGGCTGCTGAACGCTCACTGGTCGAATCAGCAGGAGCCAAACCAGGAGGAGTCAAACCACCAGCAAATGGTTCTGTTGCACCTGCTCTGGTCAAGGCTGGCCGAGAAGCAGCAGACGGGGCAGGCGTGGACGGTGATGATTCGTCTCTCCTTCCATTGGACGTCCACGATGGTAACAGTGCGAACCGGCAAGCGGCCATTCAGTGCCGTGAGGCGCTTAAAACAGTGGCAGGCGTGGACGGTCGTGATTCCTCTCTCCTTCCATTGGACGTCCGCGAGCGAATCAAGGCAAACCGGCAGGCGGCCATTGAAAGACGAGCAGAGAGGCTGAGGCAGCAGGTGGAGGGGGGGGTGGAGAACGGTGATAAGGGGAAGCAGCAGCAGCAGCACCTCCAGGACCAGCAGCAGCAGCAACGAGCACCATCGTACCAGCAGCCTCATAAGCCAGAGCAGCAGCTTCAGGGCCAGAGCCAGCAACAAGTGCAACAGCAGCATCGGCAGCAACCATCAGATCACCACTGGAATCGAGCACAGGAGCAGCAGCAGCAGAAGCAGCAGCAGCATCCAGCACAGCAGCAGCAGCAGCATCCAGCACAGCAGCAGCAGCAGCATCAAGTGCAGCATCACCAGCACCAATCACAGCAGCTGGGACCATTGGCTCCATTGCAGGTGTCCTTGGAGCTCGTTTCAGCAGACGAGTTCTGTCTCTTCGCAGATTGGGTGACAAACGGGACTGTTTATAAGGAGTACATGAGAAGGGCCCGAGGAGAAGGGGGTCGAGGGTCGGGTGGGAGCGGCAGCAGACAATTTGTTATAGGTAGAGAGAATCAAAAGATACCAGTGACTGGGGATGCAGCTAATACTGGGTGTTCTTATAACGAGAAGTCAGTGCAGCAGAGAGAGATTGCAGGAAGGCCTCAGAAAGCTACAGACGGGAAATCAGCGGGCAACAGGAGGATGGGGTTAGACCACCAGGGTGCCCTTGCGTTCTGCACGCGCTTCGTCAAGGTGATGTGATGCAATGTGATGTGATGTGATGTGACGTGACGTGACGTGACGTGACGTGACGTGACGGGACGTGACGTGACGTGACGTGACGTGACGTGACGTGACGTGACGTGACGTGACGTGACGTGACGTGACGTGACGTGACGTGATGCGATGTGATGCGATGTGATACCCTGTGGTACTCTCTCGGACCTGGGGATTGCCGTCTGCCAGGTGATGACTGATTGGTGGCATTTAAACTTTGAATATCGGTGGCATGTTTGAACTCAAGGACTGCCAGGTGGGGAGTGCAACGATTTTGACAGCCAGCTGAAACTTTTGTGATCCCCTCCCTTCCATGATTACTGCAGGCTCAGCCAATCCGGTGGCAGCACGTGGCAACAGAGGCATCAAGGGGCGTCACCCGCCTGGTGCCTGTGTTCCGCCTACGACTCTACGACTCCCTCCTCTTTACCCTCCGCTCCATCCCACCCTTCCAAGTCAAACAACTGTCTCTTTCTGTTCCTCTCCCCCTCGTCCACCACTGCTGCAGGCTCAACCAATCCGGTGGCAGCACGTGGCAACAGAGGCATCAAGGGGCGTCACCCGCCTGGTGCCTGTGTTCCGCCTACGACTCTACGACTCCCTCCTCTTTACCCTCCGCTCCATCCCACCCTTCCAAGTCAAACAACTGTCTCTTTCTGTTCCTCTCCCCCTCGTCCACCACTGCTGCAGGCTCAACCAATCCGGTGGCAGCACGTGGCAACAGAGGCATCAAGGGGCGTCACCCGCCTGGTGCCTGTGTTCCCCCTTCGATTCTACGACTCCCTCCTCTTCACCCTCCGCTCCATCCCTCCCTTCCAAGCCTTCCAACCGCTGCTCCCGAACCAACTCCCGGACCAGTCCCGGTCCATCCCTCCCTTCCAAGCCAAGCTCCCGGCCCAGGGCTCCGACCTGTCAGGCTCGTTGGTTCCCTCACATAGCGAGCGAGTGAGCGTGGGAGTGAGGATACAGGGCGTGCCTGTGAGTACGTTGGCTGCGTTAAGGGAGAGCAAGGAGAGGGAGAGGTTGAGAGGGATGGTGGAAACAGCAGAAGCAGTGGCTGATGCAGAAGCAGGAGAGGCAGAGGCAACTTCTAGAGGTGTGGGAGCGAATCTCGGCTCAGCTCTGTGCTCTAGTGCTGCTGGTGACACTGGTCTGGAAGATGGCTCGGCGACTGGTTCGGCAAACGGTTCGTTACCTGGTTTAGCACCTGGTTCGGCACCTGGTTTGACAATAGGTTCAGTGCGAGGTTCGGCAAGGAGTGTGCTGGATCGGGAGATGGAGCGGCGGCTGCCAGGTCAGCTCCGGCGAGCGCTGCTGCCATTCCAGAGGGAGGGGGTGAAGTTTGCCGTGCAGAGAGGAGGGCGGTGCTTGATTGCGGACGAGATGGGAGTCGGCAAGACAATACAGGTGAGTGGAGTGAAGGCGATAAGTATGCAGGCGGCATTTCCAGCGGGCGCTGCTGCCGTTCCAGAGGGAGGGGGTGAAGCTTGCTGTGCAGAGAGGAGGGCGGTGCTTGATTGCTGACGAGATGGGAGTCGGCAAGACAATACAGGGGAGCAGAGAGAGGGATTTCCGGCGAGCCCTGCTGCCGTTTTAGAGAGAACTGGTGAAGTTTGCTGGGCAGAGGGGAGACTATACAGGTGGGCATTCTGGCAGAACAATACAGGCGGGGTACTGTTGGTGTGTGCCTAAGGGAGGGGGTGAAGTTTCCTGCGAGGAGGGGAGGGCGGTGCTTGAGTGTTGGGAAGACCATACAGGTGGACTTTCTGGCAGAACAATACAGGCGGGGTACTGTTGGCATGTGTCTAAGATCGTTCCAGATAGAAGGGGTGAAATGTGCTGGGAGGAGAGGATGGGGCTGCCTGATTGCAAACGAATTGGGCGTGGGGAAGTCCATACAGATGGGAGCTTTCTCTTGTGTTTTTTCAAGTGCTTGCTCATCTGTGTGTCTACGGTTGTTCAAGTGAGAAAGGGTGAAGTTTGCTGAAAGGAGGGAAGGGCGCTGCGTCTGAATTGTCAACATAAGGGGCATGCTCCCACCCTGTTTCCTCCCCACCCTGTATGCTCTGTCCAGGCCATGGCAGCAGCAGCATGGTACATGGCAGAGGGTCCTGTCCTCATAATGTGTCCGGCCCTGTCCTTATTGGTAATTGCCCTAATGCTACCCCCCGCAACACCTCTGTTCCCCCACCAGGCCATAGCAGCAGCAGCATGGTACATGGCAGAGGGCCCTGTCCTCATAGTGTGTCCGGCGTGCCTCAGGCTGCAGTGGGCCGAGCAGCTGGAACGATGGCTGCCCTTCCTGCGGCCTTCCCAGATCCACGTGGGTACGTGCTTCTTGGGCACATGCACGGTACATCCATAGTACGTCGGGGAAAGGCCATGGGGAAAGGCCATGGGGAAAGGACCTCTCCTCATAGTGTGTCTGGTGTGTCTCAGGCTGCAGTGGGCTGAGCAGCTGGAGCGATGGCTGCCCTTCCTGCGCCCATACCAGATTCACGTTGGTACGTGTATGCATGCGTGGTGCATGGCAGAAGGGTACATGCTTGCATGCATGGTGCAAGAAGGACGGTCCTGCGCTTTTAGTGTGTCCGGCATGCCTCAGGCTGCAGTGGGCTGGGTGGGCAGCTAGAGACATGGCTGCCCTTCATTCGCCCAACCCACATTCAAGTTGGTACGTGTCTGTGTGCTTCAAGGGGAAAGGTCCTATCCTCGTAGTGTGTCCGGCGTGTCTTAGGCTGCAGTGGGGTGGGCAGCTAGAGAGATGGCTGCCCGACCTTCCAGCTGGAGCGCCTGGGAAATGCAGTGGGATTCGCACCCCATATTATCGTTCCTTTCCCTCTGGTCCATGCTCCGCACTGCAGTGTTCGGCCAGAGGGACGATCTGGTGGAGGAGGACCCAGGGAAGGATGCAGCCGGGTGATGCCATGAGAATGTGATTCGCATCTCATCCATTATCGTTCTTTTTCCTCTAATCAATGCAATGCTCCGGACCGCAGTGGTTGGCCAGCGGGACGGCCTGGTGCAGGAGGACCCAGGGGAGGATGCAGCAGGTGGTGCCATGCGAATAACATCTGCAACCTATATTACCGTTCCTTCTTACCTACTCACTGCCCTCCTCCAGTGTTTGGCCAGCGGGACGATCTAGTGGAGGAGGACCCAGGGGAGGGGTCTCCTGGCGGTGGCACGGATGGCAGCATGAAGGGGCACACGGACAAGGCAAATGGCCCAGGTGAGTGAAAGTCCTACAGCCCTGCCCTGCCACTTCCAAGGCAATTGGCCGAGGTGAGCTGGTGAAAGTCCTACAGCCCTGCCCTACCACTTCTTAGGCAATTGGGCAAGGTGAGCTGGTGAAAGTCCTACAGCCCTGCCCTGCCACTTCCAAGACAATTGGCCAAGGTGAGCTGGTGAAAGTCCTACAGCCCTGCCCTGCCACTTCCAAGGCAATTGGGCAAGGTGAGCTGGTGAAAGTCCTACAGCCCTGCCCTGCCACTTCCAAGGCAATTGGCCAAGGTGAGCTGGTAAAATTCCTACAGCCCTGCCCTGCCACTTTCAAGGCAATTGGGCAAGGTGAGCTGGTGAAATTCCTACAGCCCTGCCCTGCCACTTCCGAGGCAAATGGCCAAGGTGAGCTGGTGAAAGTCCTACAGCCCTGCCCTGCCACTTCCAAGGCAATTGGCCAAAGTGAGCTGGTGAAAGTCCTACAGCCCTGCCCTGCCACTTCCAAGGCAATTGGCCAAGGTGAGCTGGTGAAATTCCTACAGCCCTGCCCTGCCACTTCCAAGGCAATTGGCCAATTCAATGCTCTGCAGTATTCGGCCAGCGCGATGACCTAGTGGAGGAGGACCAGGGGGAAGGGACTCCTCCTGGCGTTGCTCCAGATGGCAGCATGAACGCTTGCATGGCCAATGGGGCGAGCAGAGGTGAGGTGGTTTAGAAGCCGGAGGGAGTTGGATGGCAACTCGTGGGACGGCCAGCGAGATGACCTAGTGGAGGAGGGACCAAGGGGCAGGGACTCCTCCTGGCGTTGCTTCGGATGGCAGCATGAACGGGCGGGCACATAGACGAGGAGAGGAGCAAAGGTGAGCTGGAAACACGGCAGAGGGTGGGGAGTAGCCGCCCTACAGTGGTGATCGTATTGTTCACGATGGTGTGGCAGGGCAGTTGTGACGAATCTAGTTTTGAGGCGCCTCAAAACCAAAGGTGAGCTGGAAAAACGGCAGGTGGGCAGTAGCCGCCCTACAGTGGTGGTCATATCGTTCACGATGGTGTGGCAGGGCAGTTGTGACGCACGCTGCAGAGGAGCTGAGTAAGTTGGGGCACGGTTGGGCACGGTGGAGCATGGTGGAGCACGGTGGGGCACAGTGGGGCAGGTGGGGAAGGTGGGCCTTCCTCCCCCCCCTCCTCCCCCCCGCCACACCTTCTTCCGTCTTCCCCTCTTCCCCGGCCTTCCACAACCCACCGAACCAGCTCCAGCAGTGGTCATCACTTCATTCACTATGGCAGGGCGGCTGATAAATTGCTTATGATTCCCACCTCCCACCACCACCCCCTCTCCTCCCCCCCCCACTTCCCCCTTCCCCTGCAGCCCCAGCAGTGGTGATCACATCATTTACCATGGCAGGGCGGCTGAGACGAACGCTGATGAGGAGGCGAGGGGGTTGGGGCATGGTGATAGTGGACGAGGCTCACGTCCTCCGGACTGGCAGGAAGCCGTACGACTGTTTGGAGGTGAGAGATGGGGTGAATACATGCGTGCATCTTGGGGGTCGCCGAATATGGGAGAGGGGGGTGGGCCACTGTGTTAGTGGACGAGACTCACGTGCTCAGGACTGCCAGGAAGTTCTTCGACTGTAAGGAGGTGAGATCTGGGACATGGGAACCTAGTCTACTGGCAAAGGCTTATAAGGAGCGATGAGGAGGCGAGGGGGGGTGGGACCTGGTGAAGGTGGACGAAGCTCACGGAAGGTGGCTAGGAAGCTCTATGACTGTTTAGAGGGTCGCACGGGTGAATGGATATGCGCGAGGGGGGGTGGGACCTGGTGAAGGTGGACGAGGCTCATGTGCAGAAGGTGGCTCGAAAGTTCTCTGACTGTTTGGAGGGTATCAAGGGTGAATGGATACATGTTTCAAGGGCGAATTTGGTTGAGTGAATCAACCCATGGCCGAGTGAATGACCCCATGGCCAAGTGAATCACCCCGTGGCCGACTGAATCACCCCGTGGCCGAGGGAATGACCCCGTATAGCTGATGGATGGCCCCATAGCCGTGTGAGTGACCCCATGGCCGACTGAGTGAACCTATGGCTGAGTGAATGACCTTGTGGCCGAGTGAATGACCTTGTGGCCTAGTGAATGACCTTATGGCCGAGTGAATGACCTTGTGGCCGATTAAGTGACTTTGTGGCCGAGTGAATGACCTTGTGGCCTAGTGACTGACCTTATGGCCGAGTGAATGACCTTGTGGCCGATTGAGTGACCTTGTGGCCGAGTGAATGACCTTGTGGCCGATTGAGTGACCTTGTGGCCGAGTGGATGACCTTGTGGCCGAGTGACTGACCTTGTGGCCAAGTGAATGACGGCCGAGTGAATGACCTTGTGGCCGAGTGGATGACCTTGTGGCCGAGTGGATGACCTTGTGGCCGAGTGACTGACTTTGTAGCCGAGTGAATGACCTTGCGGCCGAGTGAATGACCTTGTGGCCGAGTCAATGACCTTGTGGCCGAGTCAATGGCCTTGTGGCCCAACGCCGAAGATCCCCGGATGCGCAAGATCGCCCAACGCCCAAGATCGCCCAACGCCCAAGATTGCCCAACGCCCAAGATCGCCCAACCCCCAAGATCGTCCAACCCCTAAGATCACCCAACGCCCAAGATCGCCCAACCCCCAAGATCGCCCAACCCCCAAGGTCGCCCAACGCCCAAGATCGCCCAAACCCTCAAGATCGCCCAACCCCCAAGATCACCCAATGCCCAAGATCGCCCAACGCCCAAGATCGCCCAACGCCCAAGATCGCCCAACCCCCAAGTTTGCCCAACACCCAAGGTCGCCCAACGCCCAAGATCGCCCAACGCCCAAGATCGCCCAACGCCCAAGATCTTCCAAAGCCAAGATCGCCCAACCCCCAAGATCGCCCAACTTCCAAGATCGCCCAACTTCCAAGAACGCCCAACCCCCAAGATCGCCCAACACGCAAGATCGCCCAACGCCCAAGATCGCCCAACGCCCAAGATCACCCAACGCCCAAGATCACCCAACGCCCAAGATCGCCCGACGCCCAAGATCGCCCAACGCCCAAGATCGCCCAACACCCAAGATCGCCCGACGCCCAAGATCGCCCAACGCCCAAGATCGCCCAACACCCAAGATCGCCGAACGCCCAGTATCGCCCAACGCCCATGATCGCCCAATGCCCAAGATCGGCCAACGCCCAAGATCGCGCAATGCGCAAGATTGCCCAACGCCCAAGATCGCCAATCGCTCAAGATCGCCCAACGCCCAAGATCGCCCAACCCACAAGATTGCCCAACCCCCGAGATCGCCCAACCCCCGAAATCTCCCAACCGCCAAGATCGCCCAACGCATAAGATCGTCCAACGCCCAAGATCGCCCAATGCCCAACGACCAAGATCCCCAAACGCCCAAGATCGCCCAACCCCCAAGATCGCCAAACGCCCAAGATGAGCCAACCCCCAAGATCGGCCACCCCCAAGATCGCCCAATGCGCAAGATTGCCCAACACGCAAGATCGCCCAATGCCCAAGATCGCCCAACACCCAAGATCGCCCAATGCCCAAGATCGCCCAATGCCCAAGATTGCCCAACGCCCAAGATCGCCCAATCCCCAAGATCGCCCATCCCCAAAGATCGCCCAATGCCCAAGATCGTCCAACGCCCAAGATCGCCCAACCCCCAAGTTCGCCAAACGCCCAAGATCGGCCAACCCCCAAGATCGGCCAATGCGCAAGATCGCCCAACAAGCAAGATCGCCCAACGCCCAAGATCGCCCAAGGCCCAAGATCGCCCAACGACCAATATCGCCCAACGCCCAAGATCATCCAACCCACAAGATCGCCCAACCCCCAAGATCGCCCAACGGGCAAGTTCACCCAACCCACAAGGTTGCCCAGCGCCCAAGGTCGCCCAACGCCCAAGAACTCCCAACGCCCAAGATCGCCCAACGCCCAAGATCGCCCATCGCCCGAGATCACCCATCCCCCAAGATCGCCCAAAGCCCAAGATCGTCCAACGCCCAAGATCTCCCAACGCCCAAGATCGCCCAACCCCCAATATCGCCCAACGCCCAAGGTGGCCCAACACCCAAGATTGCCCAACGCCCAAGATCGCCCCACGCCCAAGATCGCCCAACACCCAAGATCGCCCAATGCCCAAGATCGCCCGACCCCAACATCGCCCGACCCCCAAGATCACCCAACGCCCAAGATCGGCCAACCCCCAAGATCGCCCAACCCCCAAGTTCGCCCAACCGCCAAGATCGCCCAACGCCCAAGATCGCCCGACCCCAGGATCGCCCAACGCCCAAGATCGGCCAACCCCCAAGATCGCCCAACCGCCAAGATTGCCCAACGCCCAAGATCGCCCAACACCCAAGATCGCCCAATGCCCAAGATTGCCCAACGCCCAAGATCGCCCTACGCCCAAGATCGCCCAACCCCCAAGATCGCCCAGCGCCCAAGATTGCCCAACCCCCGAGATCGCCCAACGCCCAAGATCTCCCAAACCCCAAGAACGTCCACCGTGCCCCCCCCCCCTCTCCCTCTACTTTTCCCGCCCGCCCCAGACTCGTGTGGTGGTGGACGTCATTCGCCGCATCAAGCAGGCCGTCCTGCTCACTTTTGAGTAAACTTGACAGTCATTCGACGCACCAATGCGGGGCATGGTTGTCCTCTCCAACCCCCCCTGACCCTCTCCTTTCCTGCATGGCCCAGACTCGAATGGCGGTGGATGTTGTTCGGTGCACCTAGTTAGCCATCCTGCCCCCTTCTTAGTCGACTTGATTGTCATTCAACGCACCAATGTGGCCCACCTTGTTGGTTGTCCTCTCCAAACCCCCCTGATCCTCTCTTTTCCCACCTGGCCCAGACTCGAGTGGTGGTGGATGTCCCTCGCAGCACCAAGTTAGCCATCCTGCTCACTTTTGAGTGGACTTGATAGTCAATCAACGCACCAATGCGGCCTACCACGTCGATTGTCCCCCCTGACTCTCCAACTCCCCCCTGACCCTCTCTTTTCCAACACGGCCCAGAATTGAGTGGTGGTGGATGTCATTCGGCGCACCACGGGAGCCATCCTTATCACTTCTGGGTCGACTCAACAGATCTCTCCCCCCCCCCCGCCCCCCCTCTTTTCCCACACGGCCCAGACTCGAGTGGTGGTGGATGTCATTCGGCGCACAAAGCGGGCCATCCTGCTCACCGGCACTCCCTCCCTCTCCAGGCAAGTCCGTTCACTGTTATTCAGAGCACCACTTGGGCGGGACTTTGAGCACCAACTGTAGAAATAGAAAAGGAAGGTAGCGGGCCATCCTGCTGCACTCCCTCCCTCTCCAGGCATGTCGAATAGCAACCACAGACTTGATCCATGTCCCCATGTCCCTCCTGCTCCTCGTGTCCTGTCCGTCTCTCGTCCCCATGTTGTTCCTGTCTTTTCCCCTTGTCCCCTTGTCCCTCCTCCTTGTGCCCTTGTCCCCTTGTCCCTCCTCCTTGTGCCCTTGTCCCCTTGTCCCTCCTCCTTGTGCCCTTGTCCCCTTGTCCCTCCTCCTTGTGCCCTTGTCCCCTTGTCCCTCCTCCTTGTGCCCTTGTCCCCTTGTCCCTCCTCCTTGTGCCCTTGTCCCCTTGTCCCTCCTCCTTGTGCCCTTGTCCCCTTGTCCCTCCTCCTTGTGCCCTTGTCCCCTTGTCCCTCCTCCTTGTGCCCTTGTCCCCTTGTCCCTCCTCCTTGTGCCCTTGTCCCCTTGTCCCTCCTCCTTGTGCCCTTGTCCCCTTGTCCCTCCTCCTTGTGCCCTTGTCCCCTTGTCCCTCCTCCTTGTGCCCTTGTCCCCTTGTCCCTCCTCCTTGTGCCCTTGTCCCCTTGTCCCTCCTCCTTGTGCCCTTGTCCCCTTGTCCCTCCTCCTTGTGCCCTTGTCCCCTTGTCCCTCCTCCTTGTGCCCTTGTCCCCTTGTCCCTCCTCCTTGTGCCCTTGTCCCCTTGTCCCTCCTCCTTGTGCCCTTGTCCCCTTGTCCCTCCTCCTTGTGCCCTTGTCCCCTTGTCCCTCCTCCTTGTGCCCTTGTCCCCTTGTCCCTCCTCCTTGTGCCCTTGTCCCCTTGTCCCTCCTCCTTGTGCCCTTGTCCCCTTGTCCCTCCTCCTTGTGCCCTTGTCCCCTTGTCCCTCCTCCTTGTGCCCTTGTCCCCTTGTCCCTCCTCCTTGTGCCCTTGTCCCCTTGTCCCTCCTCCTTGTGCCCTTGTCCCCTTGTCCCTCCTCCTTGTGCCCTTGTCCCCTTGTCCCTCCTCCTTGTGCCCTTGTCCCCTTGTCCCTCCTCCTTGTGCCCTTGTCCCTCCTGCTCCTGTTTTTCCTTTCTTTTCTTGCCCTCCCTCCCTTCCTACTGCCTCCATCAGCACCACTTTCCTACCCCCGTCTGTGTGTGGCTCTGCAGGCCGTTTGACATGTTCAACCTGGTCGACAGCCTCTGGTAAGTAGTGCAGGTAGCTTAAAACGGATACTTGGGCTTGGTTCTGCTGGTGTCTGCTTGGGCTCTGTCCGTGTGTCTATGGTCGTTCTCTCCGCAGGCCGTTTGATGTGTTCAACCTGGTCGACAGCCTATGGTAAGTACTTCAAAAGGTTTTACTTATAGGGAAGTACGTATAGGGAAATACTTATAGGGTTTTACTTATAGGGAAGTACCTATGGGGAAGGGAGCTTGAGATAACCTCCTCGCTTATCTCAGCCTGTGGAAGGGAGCTTGAGATAAGGACTTCTCTCCCTGTGTGCTCGGGCTCGTTGCGTGGCCTCTCTGCTTGGCCTAGGTGTGTGTATCTGCACACCTGTTTGGGGTCTGTCTCTATTGGCCTCCCTTTTGACATCCTCAATGAGATCGGGTCGACAGCCTCTGGTAAGCAATGCTCCTCCATCTCTGCTAGCCGCAACCCTCTTGATAGAAATGTAAATTTGTGACGTCTCAAAACGACAGCCTCTTGTGAGCGATGTTTGTCCATATGTGCTAGCACATGCCTCTTTCTTGTTTAACCATCCAATCTCCCTCTCTTTCGTTGTTTGCTTCGTCTGTCGGCTGCACTTGCCACCCTCTTGTCTGTTTGCACTTACCCTCCCTCTTGCAGCATATCCCTCTCTGTCCCACTCGCTTGTTCGTCTAGGCCCGGCTTGCTCGGCATGTCAAAGTACGAGTTCGCCCGCAACTACTGCGACAGGGAGAGGGACAGCAAGAACTGCCCAGCCCACCAACTGTCCTCCCCTCTCCCCTGTCTCCCCTGTTGCTTCAGGCCCGGGTTGCTCGGCATGTCCAAGTACGAGTTTGCCCGAAACTACTGCGACAGGGAGAGGGACAGCAAGGACTTTTCGAGGGGTATTCGCCTTCGCGAGCTGCACATTCTACTGTCACACACCGTCATGGTGGGTGACCCACTCAAGCTTGTTCCCCCCTCCCTCCCTCAAGCACCTCTGTCTTGCCTTCGCGAGCTGCACATCCTGCTGCCACACACCGTCATGGTGGGTGACCCACTCGAGCTTCTTCCCCCCTCCCTCCCTCAAACACCTCTGTCTTGCCTTCGCGAGCTGCACATCCTGCTGTCACACACTGTCATGGTGGGTGACCCACTCGAGCTTCTTCCCCCCTCCCTCCCTCAAACACCTCTGTCTTGCCTTCGCGAGCTGCACATCCTGCTGTCACACACCGTCATGGTGAGATTCGATTTTTCCCCCTCTTCCCCCTCTTCCCCCCCCTTCGCTCTTTACGTATAGCCTCCTTTTCTGCCTCTCTCGCCTCCGAGAGCTGCACATCCTGCTGTCGCACACCGTCATGGTGGGTAGCCTTTGTTTGTCCCTGTCATTTATTTCCTTTCTGAGGCGCCTCAAAGTAGACTCTGTCATTCTTTCTCTTCTTGTGGTGATTCTGTCTCCCTCTCACCTTCGCAAGGTGCACACCCCGCTATCACAAACTGGTGGGTGTCGTTGTCCATTCGCTGATCTCTTGTGCATGCTGTGTTTGAGAATTCTCAAATCTCTCTTGTGCATGCTGTGTTTGAGAATTCTCAAATCTCTCTTGTGCATGTTGTGTTTGAGAATTCTCAAATCTCTCTTGTGCATGTTGTGTTTGAGAATTCTCACATCTCTCTTGTGCATGTTGTGTTTGAGAATTCTCAAATCTCTGTTGTGCATGTTGTGTTTGAGAATTCTGAAATCTCTCTTGTGCATGTTGTGTTTGAGAATTCTAAAATCTCTCTTGTGCATGTTGCGTTTGAGAATTATAAAATCTTTCTTGTGCATGTTGTGTTTGAGAATTCTCAAATCTCTCTTGTGCATGTTGTGTTTGAGAATTCTCAAATCTCTCTTGTGCATGTTGTTTTTTAGAATTCTCAAATCTCTCTTGTGCATGTTGTTTCTGAGAATTCTCAAATCTCTCTTGTGCATGTTGTGTTTGAGAATTCTCATATCTCTCTTGTGCATGTTGTGTTTGAGAGTTCTCAAATCTCTCTGCATGTTGTGTTTGAGAATTCTCAAATCTCTCTTGTGCATGCGGTCCCATTCGTTTGAAGGTTGCAGTCTCATGTTTCTGGGTTTGTGTGCGTTTCTGTGCACGTGTGTGGACGGGTGATTGCATGTATGCATGCGTGTTTCTGTGTGCCCCCACAGATTCGGCGGCTCAAGTCTGAGGTGGTACTCCAGCTGCCACCTAAGCGCCGCCAGGTCATCAGGCTGCGCCTGGAGCCAGTTGACGTGGCACTTGCGGTCCAGAGAGTTGCTGAGCTGTCAGGGGGAGATGCTGTGGCGGATGCAAATGAACGGTCTGAGGATGATGGAGCCGAGGGGGAGGAGGGAGGGGAGGGGGAAGACGAGGAAGGAGGAGAGGAGACGGGAGAGGGAGTAGAAGTTAGAGGAGGACGGGAGGAGGGAAGGGAAGATGATGATGATGACGGTGATGATGGGGACGAAGAAAAGGAGCTGGAGGAAGAGAAAAGAATGGGTGAATGTGGCAACAAGGAGTCGGATGCGGAAAGGAGCAGTGAGCCCAGGATTGAGACTTGTAAGGCGGGTAACCGGCAAGGAAAATCTAGGATGCAGGCCGCAGGCGAGGGTATGCATGTGAGAAGGAGCAAGGGGAAGAGTGGGCGAGATTCAGCTCAAGCTGCCACTACTGCTGGAGCAGCGACCGTTGGTCCCCCTCCCATGAGCAGTGAGGGTGGTGGGGGTGGCCTCAGCACAGCGCCGGGGTCTGTGAGTGGCGGTGCAACGGATGGGAAGAGGGCCTTAAGGGCCAGAAGAGGGAGGGTAAGTGCTGGTAGGGCGAAGAGGAGAAGGCAGGGTGGAGTGGGGCGGGAGGGACGGAGAGGGGGGAAGGTGGGCGTTGGGGGTTTAAGCCCGGAGGAGCTTGGACTGGCGAAGATGAGAGGGGTGGAAGAATGGCTGAGTCACTGCCCTGTGCTGCGGGGGGTGGAGGGGAGTGAGGAGGGAGGGAAGGGCGGGGAGGAGGAGGGAGGAGAGGGGGAGGCAGGAGAGGGGGAGGCAGGAGGAGGGGAGGCAGGAGAGGAGGAGGGAGCAGGGCAGAGGAGTGAGAGGAAAGAGAGGAAGGGGGGGAAGATAAATGGGCGGATGGTTGAGAAGATGGTGATATTCGCCCATCATCACGTGGTGATGGATGCACTGCAGGCTGCTGTGTACCGCATTGCCGCTGCGAGCATTCTGGGGAGTGGGGCTGAGGGGGAGGAGGGGAGTCGGATAGCAGGGGGAGAAGGTGAGGGAGAGGAGGAGGGAGCAGAGGAAGGGAGTGCAGATGGGAACTCAGAGGGGAGGGAAAGGGGGTCTGACAACACTACCAACTTTACCAAGTTGGCCAAGCCTACTGAATCTGCCAAGCCTACGGAACCTGCCAAGCCTGCCAAAGCGGCAATGCAGTTTGAGCTGGTTCGGGTGGATGGCACTACGCCTCCTCTGGAGAGGGCCGAGGCTGTCAAGAGGTTCGTCACCGAGCCTCAGGTCCGGGTGGCCATAGTGGGCGTGACGGCGGGCGGCGTGGGCTTGGACTTTAGTGCGGCACAGACGATTGTGTTTGCGGAGATCCCGAGGGCGGCAGCTGACCTGCTGCAGGGGGAGGACAGAGCCCATCGGAGAGGGCAGAGATTCCCTGTGAATGTGGTGGTCTTCTGTGCTAAGGTGAGGCTGCTTCCTGCAACCCTAAATCCGCAACCCTCAACCCTAAACCAAGGATGTCACAATTGTGTTTGCGGAGATCCCAAGGGCGGCAGCTGATCTGCTGCAGGGGGAAGACAGAGCGCACAGGAGAGGGCAGCAGTTCCCTGTGAATGTCGTGGTCTTCTGTGCCAAGGTGAGGCTGCCTCCTTGCGTAATAAGACAGTGCAACAAGCTGGATGATCAAAGACAGGGCGCATAGGTGAGGGCAGAGATTCCCCGTGAATGCGGTGCTTTTGTGTGCCAAGGTGAGGTTCTTTCCTGCCTTACAGTCTAGTTGAAAGCTGAAGATAGGGCGCACAGGAGATAAATATTTTTCCGCGAATCCGCGACGTCACAATGTTTTTTCGCGCATTCTTTTTCGCCCATACCCCAGCCTGCTCCGGACGTGTTTGAAAGCCATCCCGTCTTGTCGTTCCCCATTTCCGTCCAAATCTCATAGCGGGGAAATATGCAAGAAACCGAAAGAGATGGAGGAGTATGACGGTGATTGAGGAATATCAGTGGGAATTCGGAAGAAGTGACGGTGCGATGGCGGTGCACTAGGGAAGAACGGTGGAAATAGGACGACGAGTAGCGAGGTGCAGTCGGGTTCCTCGACGAACATGGAAGACTCGCATGTGCAGGCTCTTCTCGAGGCCCTTGCAAAGGGGCATCTGGTGGCGAAGCCGACGATTGGGCTGAGCGAAGCCCAACGCTTGAGTGGGAGGAATTACACAATGAGGCGGCTGAAATTCATTCGACGCGCTGAGGAAGTTGGGCTGCGGTCGCTCTACCCCCTGACAATAAAAAAAACGAACTCGTTCCTCCACCTGCGACGGAGGAGCCCGAGAAAATTGCAGCGAACAAGAAGCGGAGCAAGCAAGCCTTCTTCCAACTGTGTCATTCAGTGGCGGACGTCATTGCTGTGGGGCTGGACGACTCGCAGGGGAGCTGAACTTTGCGCAGCTGGCTTGGGAGTACATGGAGTCTATGTACATGGGAGTAACAGATGCTGGCAAATCAGCAGTGAGGAAGCAGCTACTGCTGCTGAGCATGGGGACGGGTGAGCGCATCATCGAATATGTGAATAGGCCAAAAAGATTTACAACGACAATTTGAGGGCGATGGGAGCGGCGGAGTCGGAGAAGGAGATGATTGACGATATCATCCAGGGGCTTTGTGAGAGTACGGCCCCGTTACACTACTTGGCCTTTCCCTCTTTCCTTTCTATTTCATTTTTCTTTTTCTCTCATCTTATTTCGTTTCCTGTTCTCCATTTTCCATTAACTTTTGGTTTATCCTGCTATTATAATTATATCATCGACCAGGCTTGGGATGTATTGGCGCGCTATATCTAGCGTAATCTTGCCGTAATCCCTTAAAGCCAATCGCCTCGCGTGGCTATACGCAGGGTGATTCTAGATTCTAGAAGGGTCTAATCCCTTTGGATATGATAAACCTGGTTACCTGATGTACTCTCGAAGTATAAAAGCGCCTTGTATCAATCGATAGTGCAATCTTTCCTCGAGTCATTCGATCCTGTGACACTTGGTATCAGAGCTTTTCTCACTCGGCCGCGCTCAACAAAGCAGCAGCAGCGGGAAAACCTGCCTCGAAAAACCGCAGGGGGCGACGAATTCGACGCCGATTCTAGTAAGCACCAGCTCCTCGTTTTGTGAATTACCCCCCCGCGCGTGTTTTGAACAAGATGGCGACCTTCGACAACGCCGAGGTTACCCAACAACTCTTCGCGCGCATCGCCGCTCTTCAGGAGGAGCTGCGAGCGGATCGCGAAGCATGGCGAAACGAGTTCGAGCGAGTAACTCGACTCGCCGGAGCGCAGCACGACTCGACAACGGCAACGACGCAGCAGTCGCAGCAGTTTCTCGAGGCTCCGAAACCGCGCCCATCTGAGCCGTTCGATCCGAGCGATCGAAACTCCGACGCCCGCAGATGGATCGCCGGGATGGAGATCTACTTCGCAGCCGTCGGATGGAGCTCGCCAGTCTGGGACGGTCAACGCGTACGACTCGCGGCGACACTGATGCGAGGGCCGGCACTCGAGTGGATTGGCGGCAACAGTACCTTCATCCACGGTGAAGCCACGTGGCAGCAGTTCCGCACCGACCTGCTGAAACGATTCGAGCCGATAAATTCGGGGTTTCTTGCCCGGGAAAAAATTCATCGACATCGACAGTTCGGGAGTGTAGCACAGTTCACGCAGCAGATGGAAGAATTTTATAACCAAATTCCCGACCTGACCGAAGGGGAAAAAGTACAGTCATACCTCGCCGAGTTGAAGACCGAAGTCAAACGACAAGTGGCAGCGTCAAACTACGCGAGCTACAGTGACATCATTTCGGCCGCGGAGCGCTTCGACATGGTCAATGCCGGGACACGACGGACGCACGTCGGCAGTACGCGACAGGGCGACCGCTCGGCTCACACCACGTTCGCCGACCCGATGGAAATCGATAGGTTCGACTGGCGGCCACGTCCGAAAAACACCAACTACACGTGTGATTTTTGCGGGGTGCCGGGTCATCGAATCTTTGACTGCAATAAAATGAAGGCCGCACGCGCAGAGTATTGGGCACGCAACAGTGGCGGAATTAATTCGGCCAATCAGAAGACAAAAAAGGGAGCCGCCAGTGATTGCGGATCTAGCTGGCGAAAATAAAAAGATCCGGAAGCGGCCGCGGGATTCCGAGAAAATCAACTTCGACGAAGCTGATTCGACGCGAGGAGGAAATGATGGGGGAAAATCTCCACCTCACGACCAGTCTTCGCCAGGGAAAATCGCCGAGAAAAAATCCGACTCCGCGAAAAAAGACTCTGCCGAGACAGGGAAATAGGGTTGAGCAAAACCGGGTAATTAGCCGACCCGACCCGGTTTTGCTATACCCGACCTCGGGTCTGGTATTTTCAGGTCGGGTCCGGGTCGGGTAATATGCCCAGGACCCTTACCCGGATCCGGCCTTAGGGAACGGGTAATACAATACCCGCGTGGCGGGTCCGGGTATACCCGACCCGGTTATCCTGAAAAACGGGTATTAGTACCCGCCACCTACTAGTGGGCGTTCTAAAAACACGCTAGGCTAGGTAGGGTTTCTCAAAACGCGATTCTCAAATGAGAGTCATGTTTTCTGGGGGTCGAATTTTGACCACCCAACTCCCTCCCTTTCACCGCACTGAACTCCTCCCCGTCTACAAACTCCAATTTCCAGCCAAACTCCCTCCCTTTCACCGCACTGAACTCCTCCCTGTCTACAAACTCCAACATTTCCAACCCAACTCCCTCCCTTTCACCGCACTGAACTCCTACCCATCTACAAACTCCAACCTTTTCTCCAACCTCACCCAACTCTCTCCCTTTCACCGCACTTAACTCCTCCCCATCTACAAACTCCAACTTCTCCTCACAAATGCTCCACTCGTCCCCCTCACCTCCCATTTCGTTTTCCCGCAAAACCTAAATCACAGGGCGACTTACGCCCATGTCTAAATGGAATACCCGACCTCGGGTATTATTTACCCGACCGGGTCGGGTACCCGTTACCCGCCACGTCGGGTAGCGTTTTGGGTAACGGGTATCGAATACCCGCCCGGGTAACCCGGACCCGACCTGCCGGGTAATAATCCGGAATCTCGATACCCGACCCGCCCAAAAAGCGGATCCGGGTCCCGGGTACCCGACCCGGCCGGGTATTTTGCTCAAGCCTACGGGGAAACTCCTTGAAGACCCAAGAAATTATAAGGACTCGTTAAAGCTATCTGATAAAGATGGTTTAATGAAAACTTATGATTCTCGAGGGGCTAGAGCCTTGGAGAAAATTCGGGAAGGACTCCAAAAGAAGCAGACAGCTTTGGAGATTATACCGGTACCGGACAATTTGGGGAAGAAATTAAGGAGTGTGGAAAGAAGCCGACCTTTCCACGGAGTCAACGTCCTCTCCCGAAACCAGCCCACAACGACTACCCGTTCCCCAGGGAAGACGTCGGTGGAGCTGAAGCAGCTCAAAAGAAAGCTGGGGGTCTACAAAAAGCTGCAGAAACCCCGAACTCCTCCTCCGGATGCATCCAATTATTCGGCATCAACGACACGCACAGTCGTCAAGGAAACTCCGGGCCCTGGAGAAGAGCCGTTCTCCAAGCAGCCTCGGCCAGCTGCCTGCTCAGGAGGAGATAGTAATGAAAAGGTGTTTTGGGATGTACCCTATGACCCGATTAATGAAACTATCTTTGGGTACTCCGAGCAACGCCCGCCGCTCGTGCTCGAGGTCATCTGCAAAGGACGGCGCCTCCAAGCACTCGTGGACAGCGGAGCATCGCACACCGTCTGTGACAAGGCAGTAATCGACCGACTTCGAGAAGAGTACAAGCCTTCAGGATTCTCTGCAACGATGGTGGACGGCAGCAAGTTTCCAGTACACGGCGAAGCAGTTTTACACCTACAAATTGGACCACTGCACTGGAGACTTGCACTCCCCATCACCAACATCAAAGGGCTTGACTTGATCTTCGGGCGAGACTTCTTAAAACGATTCAACTCCGATATCAACTGGGTGAACCGCACCGCAAGCATCTACAACAATGGACGGAACCTCCAGGAAAAATCAAGGAATTACTGAAGGAGTTCCAAGACATTCTCCCTGACTATCTTCCGAACGAGCTACCGCCATACAGAACGCATCAACACGAGATCTTGGAGGAACCAGGCTCGAAACCGACCTTCCGAGCACCATATCGGCTCAGCCCTACCGAGCTGACCGACATGAAGAAACAGATCTAGTATCTCCTAGCCAAATGACTCATCCGACCATCCACTTCGCCATACGGTGCCCCAGTACTCTTCACACCGAAACCGGACGGAAGCCTGCGCATGTGCATTGATTACCGAGCTCTTAACAAGCAGACCATCAAGAATAAATATCCAATACCGCGAATCGATGACCTGCTTGACCAGCTTCGGGGAGCTACGGTATTTTCCAAACTGGATCTGCGGTCTGGATACTGGCAGATACGGATGGCGGACAACTCTATCCACAAAACTGCTTTCCGAACTCGGTATGGATCGTACGAGTATTGGTAATGCCGTTCGGAATCACCAACACACCGGCGACATTCCAAGCCGAAATGAACCACATTCTACGACCACTATTAGACGAGTGCGTGATGGTATACCTGGACGACATCCTCATCTACTCGCGCAACATGAAGCAGCACGTCGAACACCTGCGACGCGTCTTTGAAATTCTTCGACGAGAACGATTCTACGTCAAACTGTCCAAGAGCGAATTCGCCCTGGAGAAGGTCCAATTCCTATGACACATGGTGAGCGCTCAAGGAGTTCACGTCGACCCCAAGAAAGTCGAAGCCGTACGTACGCGAAAGACACCCGAGAACGTGAAGGAGTTGCAGCAGTTCTTAGGCTTCGCTAATTACTACAACTGGTTCGTGCCACAATATGCGAAACTCGCAGCACCACTCACGAATCTGCTGAAAAGGCACACGCCCTACAAATTGGAGACAAAGCACCAAAAAGCCGTGGAGCAGCTGAAACAAGCACTAATGTCCGCACCAGTACTCATCTTGCCAGATCCGAACGCGACTACGTAATCAAAGCTGACGACAGCGATCAAGCAGTGGGAGCAGTCTTGATGCAAGACCAGGGGAATGGACTGCAACCAATCGCCTACCGTTCGTACCTCACCGCCGTCGTCGGAATGGCACCGTGGAGCTTCTTATTCGTTGGAAGGGTTATGATCCTTCTGAGAACAGCTGGGTACCTGAGTCCGACATGGATAACGCCCGTCGTCCTCTGCATGACTACCTTGTCAAACAGGGTGTTACTTCTACCACCCAGCTTTGAGGAGGGGAAGTGTGAGAGTACAACCCCGTTACACTACTTGGCCTTTCCTTTCTATTTTATTTCTCTTTTTCTCTCATCTTATTTGATTTCCTATTCTCCATTTTCCATTAACCTTTGGTTTATCCTGCTATTATAATTATATTACCGACCAGGCTTGGGATGTATTGGCGCGCTATATCTAGCGTAATCTTGCCATAATCCCTTAAAGCCAATCGCCTCGCGTGGCTATACGCAGGGTGATTCTAGATTCTAGAAGGGTCTATTCCCTTTGGATATGATAAACCTGGTTACCTGATGTACTCTGGAAGTATAAAAGCGCCTTGTATCAATCGATAGTGCAATCTTTCCTCGAGTCATTCGATCCTGTGACAGGCTTCCTCAGGAATGGGAGTCGGATATTAGTATGTTCACCAACACACCGCCTGCAAGTATGATGAAGTTGCTGGAATCACTGCAGTCGTTGGAGAGGGTGAAAGCGACAAGGAACAGTAAGAATTTCAAGGGACAGCCAGGAGAACAGAATGCTGCACCGGCAAAGGCGAATGTAGAAGCAAAAGTCGTAGAAGACAAGGAGGATGTTATCTTGGGGGGAGCACATATGGCATGCAATGTGCGCGCTGCAGCAGTGACCATGCAGATCGAAGAAGGTGCACATCCAGCTTCGTTCATGGACAGCGGATGCTTCCACCATGCGACTTATTGCCGCGAATGGATTCAGGGACTACGCGAGTCAAGTTTGGAAGTTATTCAGGTCGCCAACAATGGGATATCAGCAGTGCAGGGGGGAGGAGAAGTGGTGCTGCAAGGTCGTAGTGGTGAGCTGAAACTGGAGAACGTGCTGCTCATAGAGGGGCTCAAGATGAACCTGATCATTCAAACTCAACTGGACGAGGCGGGATACAAGATTTTCAACAACAACGGACAGATGTGGGTACTTGACCCTCAGTGGACAGTGATTGCAGAGGGAATTGTGCGGAAGGGGATGTATGAGATGCGATTGACCGAGCAGGGTATGGCAGCGGCAATGGGCAACCAGCAGCCTACACCTGAGGAGGAAAGGAGGGCATAGGAACGTGGAAGGGCTGCAGTACATGATATGTTTGAAAGGGTTCGGGAGGCACCATCGGAAGAACGACCAGAAGAAGAAGAAGAGGAGAGTGAGGAGGAGTCTCTGCTCAATGGAGGGGAAGAAGCAGATACAACAGCGGAAGCTGAGAAAACAGCAGCAGCTGAGGCAGCAGTAGCAGGACCAGCAGGTTTTCATCTTGCGCCAAACTCACTCTGGGAGGAGGTTGGCAATGATAAGAATCTCATGTTCTTTGTGAGGGAAGGAGCAGTGCAGCAAGGGTGGAATCTTTAGGAGGAGCTAAGGGTTAAGAGGCTTGCAAAGCACTTTACCATATGGGATTATGATCTCTATACAGACCTGGAAGGTGATACCTTGAAGTACCTCAGGGGTTACATTGGGCGTGGTCGTTGAGTGGGGACGGAGAAGAGAATGATAAGGCATGTGAAGACCGTTCAGGACGCAAGAGGATGTTTCCATACTAACATCAGGGGTGTAGGGGAGCTGCAGCGCATGAGTATAAGCACAGCAAGGCAGCAGTTGAGGAGTATGAAGCAGAGCGAGCAAACTGTTAATGGGTCACGAATACTAGCGGAGTAAGAGGTGGAGGATGTGGTGGTTGACGAACCACAGAGGAGGTTGTTGGAAGTGGTTCGCCAACCACTAGGGCGACCTACGGGTGGCGATCTAGGGGCAGCAGACAGACGGTGGGAATGAAAGAATCGGTTGAGGAAATAGTGGGGAAATATGCAAGAAATCGAAAGGGATGGAGGAGTATGACGGTGATTGAGGAATATCAGTGGGAATGCGGAAGAAGTGACGGTACGACGGTGGTGCACTAGGGAAGAACGGTGGAAATAGGACGACGGGAGATGAAAAGGAGAAAGGGGAAGGAGTGGGAAGGAATGTGTGAAGAAAGTGTGCATGTGGAGTTACGTGCAGTGTTTGCGGGAGAAATTGACATTTCGGACGGTGCGCGTTCAGTGGCACCGAACTTGGGTTGGGGTCGGAGTCGGTGTTGAAACACGCAGACCGTATTCCGACTCAATTGCGTGTGCGGCCCGAAACGTAACAGGGCGCGCTCGTTACTCGAAGCGCCCTCGGTAGTTACGAGCTGCAAAATTTCATTCTGGTTGAGCTTAAGATCGCATTCAGGAAGTTTGCCCATCCCGAAGTTTTCCCATCTGACACGGTTTGGGGCAATTCTGTGGGCAAACTTCATGAACACCGAAGTTTGCCCATCCGACTTCACAACCTTGCGACCAGTTTGATGAGCCCCAAACGACGAAAAGCGAACAGACAAAGTTCGCCCCAAATGAGGAAGCCCCAAACACAATCGCGTGCTCAAGATGTGATGAAATCAGGAGGCGCAAACGTCAAACCCATCTCACACCCATCCGGGCGTCCGGCGAATCCAAAAGTCCTATCCTTTGGAACAAAAAAAGACGGTACACGTGGCCGTCCTTGGTTAGTTTGACTTCAATTGAAATCTTGCCATATTTGACGACGCTTGGAGATGGTGGGCTTTCCAGTTGCCCCTGCCAGGTTTTTTCCGCTGTGCGGGCAGTTGGGGTAAGGTTCCGTGACGACCAGGCGTCAAATCATGCCGGAGTGGGACACAAGACTGCCAACTCCTGACGTGGGATGTGTTCGCACTTTGTCGTGGGCCCACGTCGCATGCATCCTGGCCGGCCGAAAGCAGGATGGGAAAAGTTCTAATCACATGTGCAAAGTTTGAATTGCGTGGGAAAACATTGAAATGTGTTTTTAGACATTCCGAGCCGCGTGGGAAAACTTCGCGGATGGGCTAACTTTCTGGACGCGATCTAAAATCACTTGTATGTTTGTCATTTTATAACACAGTTGAATTCTTGCATAAGTGCGTTATCACGAGTTCTAGCAAATCTGGGGATAGCGTTGTATTCGTGTCGACAAGGAGATTATCATAGAGCCTAGTGCTTCTATATAATCCTAGTGCAAGGAGTCCTTGCAAAATCCGATAGTCGCTTTGGCGAAATCCCGTCGATCGGAGGCGATCGGCAAGGTGGCGCATCGGAGTCCGAGCGCTCAGTGCGACTGCGTTTTGTAGCCGTAGGCGAGGAGTCCTTGCTACGAGCTAGCAGCTAAGTGGGAAAATTCGCGTTTCGCGTAAATTCGCTGACGAATTTACGCTGGCGTAAATTCGTCCGAACGCCAGGGCCCTGTTTTGAATTCGTTGGGAAATTCGTTCCGCCCGGGCAGGAAAAAAATGCCCGGGCAGGCCCAAAAACAAGTTCCCAGGCAGGGGGGGCGTGGGGGGTTTCAGGGCAACTCTTTTTAAGCAAGAAAGTTTTAGCACAAAATCAATATTGCTTCTCAAAGTTTATGGCCATAGCTTGTTCTAGAGTTTGGGGGGGATCCTTCGCAACAACAGCCCTGCAGCAACATACAGCAACATCATACTCGTGAGGTAAGCTAATGTCTATGCGGTAAGCTACTAGATCTACTAGCTAGGACGCGGAGTGATTAGCTAGATCTACTCTAAGTCTGGTAGAGTAGCGTGTGAGATGCGTGATATGGTTGCGTAAGTTGTGTTGGGTGCTGGATGGGTTGGGTTATCTAGATGCGGTGGGGTTTGATGCGGTTGGGAGAGTGGGAGGGGTTGGGAGCAGGTTTGGAGGTTCAGAAGTTAGAATCGCGAATTGGCGAGGCCACGGATGGCTTCGCCAAGTCGTCGCGAATCGAGTGGGGAAATTTGCATTTTTTTTGTCCGGGCTGCCCAGAAAATTTCCCCCCAGCGTTTCGCGAATTTCAGGTAAATTCGCAAACGCGACTTTACGCTTACGAATTTACGCAAAACGCTGGGGGGACCCCAACGAATTTGCCCACTTAGGCTAGCAGTAGGACGTTGGCATCAGTCACGAGCAAGGTTGGCTTGCTGTGAGCGCGTTTGACATTTTCGTTGCCTGGGAGCTGTTAGTTCACGCGGAAGCTATAGCCAACTTAGATTCTTAGCACGGTGGCGGAGATTGTGCGAGTTACGGTGCTTGGCTTTTAGGTGTTCTTTGCAAAACAGGAGGGAGGTGATGGGGAGAGAGTGGAGCATTTGTGAGGAAAGATTGGGAGTTTGTAGATTGGGGTGGAGTTCAGTGCGGTGAAAGGGAGGGAGTTGGTTGGAAAGCCAATTTGACTTTGTAAACGGGGGGGTTGAGTGCGGTGAAAAGGGAGGGAATTGGTTGGTCAAAATTCGACCCCTAAAAACGTGCCTCATTCGCTTCCTTGCTGCCCCTTGGTTTTGTTTCCCTGCCTGGGAATTTTTGTAAGCCCGGCCGGGCATACGTATTCCTGCCGTATTGGACCCCAAACCCATGCGTTTTGCATATGTACGCAAGACTATATACGCCGGCGTATAATACGCAATACGCGTATATTCCAACATAGTATCCAAGCCCATCCAGGCCCATCCAAGCCTATGTTGGTACTTTACGTCACTTTAGGTGACGTAAACGTACAGTACGCGTAACGTTACGTTTACATTACATTACGCGTACGTTATGTTTACATCGCCGGGCAGGCCCTGAATTTTTTTCCAGGCAAAAAAATTCCCTCCGAAAACCGCGTTCTACAACTACGCGATCTGCAACTACGCCTAGATTATCACTGCCCACGGTTTGCGCAGATCTACCGCGTCATGAACTTTGGCGCTTGAGATTCGTCGCGCTGGTCGAAGGCGCGCTAATAGTCCTAGGATGCGACTTAGACTTAACTTAGTTGCTACTGGAGATAGGGTAGCGACTAACATTCGTCGAGGAGGGAAGGGGAATTGAATGTCAAGGAGGGTTGGGTTGGGTTAGGTAGGTATTTTGTGGATGTTTTCTATCTTCCTACGAAAAGTTTTAATGGCCAATGGAAGTCTGTACAAAAATCTGCCTAGGGTTCCCTCTTCTTTCTTTTTTCTGGGCAGGTAGAAAAAAAATTAGCCTGCCCGTACATACAGGCCTAAAACCAGAATCGCGTAAACGTACGTAAACGTAAACGTACACGTACGTAAACGTAACGTAAGGAACCAACTTAGATCCAAGCCCATCCAAGACCATCCAAGCCCATCCGAGCCCATCCAAAGCCCATCCAAGCCCATCCAAGCCCATCCAAGCCCACCCAATGCCCATCCAAGCCCATCCAAGGCCATCCAATGCCCATCCATGCCCATCCAAGCCCATTCAAGCCCATCCAAAGCCCATCCAAAGCCCATCCAAGCCCATCCAAGCCCATCTAAGCCCATCCAAGCCCATCCAAAGCCCAATCCAAAGCCCATCCAAGCCCATCTAAGCCCATCCAAGCCCATCCAAAGCCCAATCCAAAGCCCATCCAAGCCCATCCAAGCCCATCCAAAGCCCATCCAAGCCCATCCAAGCCCATCCAAGCCCATTCAAAGCCCATCCAAGCCCATCCAAGCCCATCCAAGCCCATCCAAGCCCATCCAAGCCCATCCAAGCCCATCCAAGCCCATTCAATGCCCATCCAAGCCCATCCAAGCCCATCCAAAACCCATCCAAGCCCATCCAAGCCCATCCAAGCCCATCCAAAGCCCATCCAAGCCCATCCAAGCCCATCCAAGGAGTCACGGGACGAGATGGCGTGGCAAAGATTGTGCCGCAGTGCAGAGCAAGTGGCAGCTGCTGTTTCTCGCTTGCTGTTCTCTCTTCCCCTCCTCTCTGCTATACAGAACGCACGAGAAGAGGCGGCACGGCAGAACTGCAGAGCGCGTGTCTGCCGCAGTGGATGGGGGGACGGACTAATTGAGGGAAGGCTATTTTGACTATTCTGCGTGTAGGAAACTGACTATTCTGCCCACCGTACTGCATCTGTTGCTTGCCCCTGTCTCCCTCTCCTCCTGCTTCCATCCAGGACTCACGGGACGAGACGGCGTGGCAGAAGTTGTGCCGCAGTGCGGAGAGAGTGTCAGCCGCTGTGGATGGGGGAAGAAGCACGAAGTGGGCCTGCACGTGGATAGCGTAATTGACCAATCTGCTGTCAAAAGGGCAAGGGGGCGAGAGGGATTTGAGATGTGGCAAAGGACTGCTGGGGAGGGGGGGAAGCAGCAAGAGGTGGGGTTGCTGGTGGATGGCGGGAAGCAGAGGGAGGGAGGGTTGCTGGTGGATAGCGTTATTGACCAATCTGCTGTCAAAAGGGCAAGGGGGGAGAGAGGGTTGATGGAAGACGAAAGGGGAAACATGGAGAAGGGATACGCTAGAGAAGATAGGAAGAGCGAGCGAGGAGGGTGGAAAGGTGACGACGAGGGGAGCAACAGGTGGTAGAGAGGGGCCAGACAGCTCCAGTGGTTATGAAATGCTGGGAATGGATAGTCCTCGTAGGGAAGTGGGAAGTGGAAGTGGGAAAGGCGTGGGGTATCATCACACAGGTTTGCGGGAGGAAGTAAAGGGAGCGGAGGAGGATGCTGAAGCACAGAAGTGGGCGCAGATAAGGCCAGAGGGCCTGCGGTTCGAGGTGAGCATGTCCCTTGTTTTGAGACGCCTCTGTGCTTCAGTCATTTCCTCAAAATCAAACAAAGACTGCCTTTCGAGGTGACTTTTGACGACTCGACTCAAAGTCACCTCATCAAAAGCCAGAGGACCTGCAGTTCGAGGTGAGCATTTCCCTTTTTTTTAGACGCCTCTGTGCTTCAGTCATCTCCTCAGACAAAGGCTGCTTGCCGTGCCCCTGTGTTTTCTTTTGACTTAATCCATTCTCACCATTCACGCCCTCTCACTGTGTGATGCCAATCTTTTGTATTCGGGCAGGTGAGCACCCACACGGGCAGAATACATCTTTTCTTCAGCCATCCTGGCCGTCCGTTCTCGCCGGTTCCCCTCGAGCAAAACTTTCATCCTGAAGATCTGGACCTCGTTATTAGCACCCCTCTTTGTGTCACGGGCAGGAAGAAGCAGCACGACGGGAAGGCAGGAGCCGATTATACCCCTGGTGACAATAACGAGGGTGACAGCAAAGCGGAGGATGACCAGTGTGACAAAACGAGAGTGACAGAAACAACAATTGTGGCAACAAAAAAGGTGACAGCAGCAAGAAGGAAGGTTCCTCGGCAGGTTCCCCCCAACTCGTGGACTCGGAGGATCGGATGCCGCCAATCCTGCGGCGACACGCTGCGCGCGCTACGAGAGGCCGCCAGGTCATTTGTCAGCGAGTGGGGAGCGCTGAAGCCGCAGCACCGGAGGAAGCTGCTTGGAAGGGTCCTGGCGCTTCCTGTGGCAGAGGAGCTGGAGCGAATGCTGTTCCCGCTCCCGTTCGGCGAGGTTATGGTGAGAATTTGGGCTCTCCTGGATTAGTCGCATTTCAGTGCTGACTGCGGCTAGGGAGGGGAGAGGGGATGAGACGAAATATTCGCTATAAGTAAGTGGA